GAGGGAGACGACGACCGCTGGAGCAGAGCAGCGGAGGCGGCAGACGGCTGCTAGAGGCGCAGGTTGCGGCTGTGAGGTGGACGAAAAATGCAGACTTGAGGAGACCTGCAATGGAGGAGACCTGGCAGCTGCAATTGGTTCGCATAGATCTCGATTAAGAGGAGAGGAGTGGCCAGTTTTATGTAAAGTTCCAAAATGGTCATATTTTGGTCTCTTAAAACGTTGGAAGTATTATTTGTGCCATTCTTTCTATTTAAATTTAGGATTTATAATTTTCTTAGGCAAATTTTTAGTAGGTATCTCAAATTGAATAGGCTATGTACGTAGAGTTGAGTAGGTAAATAATAATATGGAGTAAGTGCATTATTTTGTACTCTATATTTAAAAAAACGTACAAAAATTTTTATATAAATTTGTAAGTGGGATAAATAATTTAGCTATTTTTAGACGTATTTATTTCTATATTTTATTAATAAAATATATTTTAAAATTAATTTTTTCTCGAATCAGCAGAATCAGCCAATGCAGCCACTCCTGCCAGAACTTCATAAATTTCAGCACAATCAGCCAAAACAGTCGATTTTGGTGCTACCAAATGAGCTCGAAAATTGGGTTGTGGGATGAATAATACTACGTAGGGTATATGAAAATAGGGTATATGAAGTATTATTTTTTGGGTAATTCTCATATTACGTGGGATAAATAATAAAGTGTTTTGATTGGGATAATGTGTTAAAAATGAATAAATTTAGTGATATTTGTAATTGGAAATATGTGTATTAATATATTAAATAGGAAAAATTGAAAATAATAATCCCAACTATTGCTGGTCCGCTGAAAATAATCCCAACTATTGATTATTTTTGTATAATCCCAACTATATAGACTGTCCGCCAATAATGGTCCATGACCATATATTACCTCTATAAAAAGTGAATTTTAAATAGAAATTAAGTGTAAAAATTAAAAGTTGAGACTATTTATAGGGATTACTTGTTATATCTCATCTCATCCACTTTAGAAACTACAAGAATGTATTCAAAGGGACCATTATTGGCGGAGGCCGGTCCTGACAATTTATAGGCCCGGGACAAAAGACAAAAAATAGGCCCTTAATTATATATTCCGTACATTATAGAAATGTATTACAAAAGCTTCAAGTCAAAAATAAAATTCATTACACAAGTAAATGTTTTTGTTCCTAAAAATACTTGGTATCATAAGCCATACAAAACAATTCTTTAGGCATTGTTAAAAGAAAATTTTAATTTTAAATTCTCGGTAGAAAGTCATCTAGTTGTGTTTCGTGTGTAGCTCTGTTGTTGTGGCTCAGTCTACGGATATGAGCATTGAGGGGTATCTTTTACGGAATATTAGAGATTTAGAGTATAAGGAAATGATTTGGTCAGGCGCACTTGACAAAATGATCTGGTCAAATTTTTTTGATAAAATTTTGTACTCATAATCTTCATAAAGATTAGATTATTTACACAAAAATTTCAATTTCTAATTCAATTAAGAAGTTAGTTAAATAAATTATTAAAAAACATTGCGATATTTAAACATACATAAAGCACACTGTTTTTCAATAATTTATTTAACAGATTTTCCGATTGAATTTTGATTTGACATTTTTTTGACCTAATCTACACTTAATGAAAAATATACTCACAAACTTTCATCAAACAATTTCATCCGAAAGCGTCTCAAATAGATTTGTGGGCCCGAGGTGAACGAGACTCAATATATATATTACTCCTAAATAATTTATGGGCCCTTCTTCCCGGTGGGCCCTGGGCAGCCGCCCATCCTGCCCCTATACCAGGACCGGCCCTGAAGGTCCTTAAAGTTGGGATTATTCTGTAATAATCAATAGTTGAGATTATTATGAGCGGACCGCCAATAGTTGGGATTATTACTATCAATTTTTCCTATTAAATAAGAAATAATCAATTGTTAGATTAGTGATTGTATTAATTATTGAATATACATATTTAATGATATTGTATTATGAAGTTATTTAATGTTCCAGCAAAAATAAATAATATAAATATTTCATTACTCGTTTCATCTATAACAACAACATGACAAAGGAATACAAATTTTTATTCATTAAAAAGAGTTACAGAATACATATAAATGTTTACTCTTGTGCTCTCCTACTCGGGCGCATATCCATTTCATTTGTAAATCTGGTCTTTTGAGGTCTACCGGTTTGACCGCGCCTAGCACTTTGAGGCGGTATCACTAAATATCCGGTATCAGGCATCGCACTTACGTCATGCAAAGGCATAATATCCGAAGCATACGTACGGATGTAGGCACCTAATTTATACACGTCCGGGATGAGATGATAAACAGTTATTTCTAAGAAATGACATGTCGCATAGGCGTGAACACATGGAAATCCATTCTGCTTCCAAAAACCGCAATCACATTCGCAACGTGATAGATTTACGGTTACTGGCGGATAATCACTAATGGAAACAGAGTATATTCCCGTTGATAGGTTATGCGGGACAATAGTGCACCGATGCCTTTGCTGCGAACGTTCAAGAATATCTTTCCATATATTTTGCGGATACCGGAACCCAGCTTGCCGCCACATCTGACCAGCCCTACGTCGGTCGGCAAATAGTTGCACAACTTTGTTATAAGTCGCCTTAACAAGCGCAGTGATTGGAAGTGTGCGACATCCCTTTAGGACGTTATTGAAGCTCTCAGAAAGATTTGTTGTGAGGATGCCGTAACGTCGTCCGTCATCGAAGCACAATGCCCATTCCAGATAAGGTCCGCGCGATGCGCGTAACGTGGCATCACCAGCACAGACCGATCAACCGGGTCCATAAGTGGTATTTGTGCAGCCATTCGTATCTCAACTAACAACAAAAATCACATATTAGTGTTTATATATATATATATATGTGTGTGTGTGTGTGTATGTATATTTTATTAAATGAAATTATAAATTACATATATAAATTTTCAATGAAACTATATCAGTGTTAAGTATTACATTACAATATATGTATAGTTGATATTGGGCTTATCCACTGAACAGTATTACCACCATGCCAGAAACTAGAAAAGGACTAGTTCTATTAGTCCTATTATAATATATATGAACCGATACAAATTTTAGACTTGCCATTGAGTAATATTTTCACTGTGCCAGAAACTAGAAAAGGACTAGTTCTAGACGTAACATTTGCCAGAAGCTAGAAAAGGACTAGTTCTAGACGTAACATTTGCCAGAAGCTAGAAAAGGACTAGTTCTAGACGTAACATTTGCCGGAAACTAGAAAAGGACTAGTTCTAGACGAGCTTGTGAAGATTGTACCAATATAGTGCAATTATAATATATGTACTGATTGCAAATTTAGACTTGCCACTGATTAATATTTTCACTATGACAGAAACTAGAAAAAAACTAGTTCTAGTCATACCATTTGCCAGAAACTATAAAAGGACTACTTCTAGACTTTTATGGCTCAATTATAATAAATATTATGAACTAAATTATATTACAGTGTTATTTGGGAATAATTTGTGATGACTAAATTAAAATGTTCAACTAACTAAACTAAATTTAAATTTGTAATAGCAACGTAGTCTCAAATTACTATATACACTGATTTATTATTTAATACATTATAACAAATATTAGTGAACCAATTATTTTATTAATATTTAATTTGTAGAGGATCATTTTAGCTATTTTTTCCATATAACTTTTTATTTTATTAATTAATAAAAAATATTTTTAATATAACTTTTTCATGAATCAGCATAATCAGCCAATACAGCCACATCAGCCAGAATTTCATAAATTTCAGCAGAATCAGCCAATACAGCCACATCAGCCAGAACTTTATAAATTTCAACAGAATCAGCCAATACAACCACTTTTAGTGTTACCAAACGACCTCAAAAAGAATAAAAATATAATTAAATTTCTAACCTCTTTGAAGGACACAACGAATTCAAATCAGCAACAACACTCAATAATTTTATCTAATTGAATTTGTTTTTTTGTAGTGTGTTTAATATGATGTTGGAGGGATTTAAAGAGGTAAGAATTGTGGTTGGATAGTGAACCACCGCACAAAAAAAATGGAGGGTTGAGATTTATTTAATATGATCCAAGGGTTGAAAATAACAAGAGGAAAGCACAATCCGCGTGGTATTCCTTTGGCCAATCAGAGAGCTGATTCGTGGGGTGGATGGATGGAGCTGCTGGACAAATATTCGGATTACACAAATCCGAAATTGTGTATGGATGGATAAATCTGACATGCATGCGGCTGACACAAAGCCGAATTCTGCCTCTTTCGGAATTCGGATTCAAGGAATCCGACATTCCACATATTGCTTATTAAATCACGGTGTCGGATTCATGGAATCCGACTTTTGCTTCTGACATTTATCACCCGACATCTCTGTCCAAATTGGAAAACCCCACAAAAACCTACAAAAAAAACCCTACAAAACTCGGATTCCCCAACCCCGTTTCCCGTAAATTCATACCCTAACTCTGACATTCGTATTTTGGGAATGGATGCATGGAATTCCCGTAAATTCGTGCTAAAATATTTTTACACGAATTTGGCATATGATATGTGTGTCAAATCCTCTATGAATTTCGGCCAATCCTGTATTTTTCTTAATGTGCAATCATATCATAAAGCCTTTGTTTAATAGTGTGATCTTACGTATTAATCGAGTGAATCGTAAACAACAATATTTTTAGTTTTAACTAAAGAAAAATTAATACCAAGTACGGAGTACCTCGCATTGCCGCCCTAGCAATGGTGAAAAGTACTGAAGCAGTAGTTAATTACCAAGAAATACGGAGTATTATCTTTGTTTAATTTGCATATAAGGAAAATCTTATAGCAGAACTGGAATATCTCAAGCAGTAATTACCAAGAAGTCTACACGCTTTACTTTGCATAAAAGGAAGATCTATCACTACCATAGCTCAACTAATTGTTACATACCTTGCGAGAAAAATCGACGTACTTGACTTTGGCATGAAACATATTTTCCAGAAATTCTCGGTGACTTTCCTTGAGAGTAAACTTATGACTCACAAGAACAGCATTGAAATTGCAGATTACCGGACCATCATCCGTTTCAACATTATTGGAAGATTTGGCGATCTCCATTAGATTTGGGGCCATTGAATCCAAATCTTCAATCTTTTCTACCTGGAGAAAGTGAAGGAGTTGATCTAAGGTAGGTCCTGTTGCGCCATTGGCAATCATGTGGAGTATTACTGAGATACCGAAGGGTGATATCGTAAGGTTTTCTGGAGATTTGTTTTGGCATGACTTTTGCAACTCAAGCAAAGCAACGTCGAGGGAAAACTCCATGGCGGCGTATCTCTCTGTTAGATGTGATGGACCAAGAAACTTAAATAGCAATATGCTAGGGTTTTGAGAAGGGTTCAGGATGGGGAGAGAGAGACAGAATCACGGGATTTTTACGTTGTTGTTCCCAAAATAGGAAGCTACCTTTTTTAGGTCGAAAACATGGGATTGGGAGTTGTTCCCAAAATCCGACTTTGATGAGGAGGGCTTTGTTTGATCTATCTCCACTTTCCGATTTTTGATATTGGCATGTTGGTTTAGGCTCCAAATATAGTAATATGTTAGATTCTGAAACTTTTTTATTTGAAAGGTAGATTTTTGAAACTTTAGAACATTATTAAATATGTGAATAAATATATTATTGTTTAGGTATTATTATTTATGACTAAAAATCAATATTAGTTATTCTCCCGTCCCGCTAAGATTGTCCAATTTTTTCGTTCGTTCTGTCCCACTTAAATATTCTTACTTTATTCTTACTTTATCAATTCAATATCAACTACATAAACTTCTTTTTTCACTACAACATTTTGAGGTTAGGGCAACACCAATTTTTGAGATACCATAAAACTGTTGCCTTATGTTACTATAGACTACGGATTTATAATAATGTTCCAGAAATAAATGAGTATTTAAATTTTTAAATGCATCACTAAAAAACTGTTCTCAAATTATAATTAGCAACAGTTTATTTTTATTAGGGCTTTGGCCCACACTTCAAAATGGTTGCTGTATACTCCAGTGAGTTTATTTTATTTTAATTAAAACCGTTCTCCTATACCGAAACTATTTCGGCGCCAAGTAGGTATTTTAGTTCGGCCCAAAATTTTAAAACTAAAAAACTGAATGTTTAGCTTCACAATCAGCGCCACGATATCGTATTACCCATCGCTAGTCAGTTAGTTCCACAGAGATGTGCCATCGTCAGTCGGTTAGCTTCACAATCGGCGCATTCGATTCCTTGCTCCACAGTGATCGGCACCAGTGCATCACAATCGGTGGCGCCTTTGATCCCCTGCTCCACATAGATCGGCATCACAATCGCTGGAGTTCAATCTTCCAGGTAATTCATTTAGTTTAATGCTTAACTGTGTAGATAGATCAAAACAGATAGAGAGTAGTAAATACACTTAGATTTCTATTATTCCTACAAATTCAGTCGATCACTGAGGATGATTTCTATCCATGAAACCATTAGCTGTGATTAGCTGTGCAAAATATGTACGATTAGCTGTGATTTACTATGAATTTATTTAAATTTAATTTGAACGGATCCGTTCCTGTTATCTTATTACCCAACGATGATTATAAGTATATGTGTGCACTTGTGCATATGGTATGAAATTGAAAGGTTCACTATTCTGAAGTATTGGTATTGGATTTCTAGCTTGAAGGAGAACTCTGTTACATATGCAATCTCTAGGTATAAGGGAATTGACTTAGGGTTATTGTATTACCATTCTTCTAAATGGGGAAGAAGAATCATGAAGAAAGCTAGGGGGAAGACTTTCATATTGCCCTAATGCCTCAGTTCTCCAAAACTTATTGTGTTCATAGTTTTTGAATAAGCATATCAGAACTTGTTCTTGCTTTGATCCTGTGTTTTGCAAATAACTTTTGCCCCCAACCTAATGTTATAACCACTTTTCATTAGCTTTGGTACGAATCAATGAGGTTCTTTTTGTTCCGTTTATTCCTCTATCAGTGGTTCAGTTCTGCAAATAAAAAACATAGAACCAGACAAAGGAGGGACTGCACTTTTGGCCCCTAGGCTATTAGTGGTTGCTTGGGATTTTTTAATTAGTTATTTATCATAGTCGTTGCATCCCGGTATATTTGTTAAAGTAGTGGTGATTTCTGTTGCTTGCTGGCAAACTCAAGCAGAAAAAAAACTCTATTGCAGAATGATTAGGGCGTCTCTAATCTCTATATCATTTTAATCCTTATGTGATGCATTCATATTGTTTGTCTTCTTTAAGTTTGTAAAACTGAAATTTTGATTTTCCATAACTCCATGTGTTATTATATCTTTAATGTTCTTCAGAAGCCTTCTTTCAAATCAGATAGAATGTTCTCAAGTATATAGTGTATGTGATGTGTATTACTTGACCAGGACATGAAATTGCTATATATCGACTTCAAATTAGTACTTTCATGCCTAGCTTGTTTCAGTTATAATATATTTTACATTTCTTATAATATTCCATCTATATTTCTTTCAATTTGTCTTCTCTTTTTCCTTAAACCAACCCTGCAGTGGTAGCAAAAATCTGTGGCACTTCTGAAACGGTATCTATTAAGGTAGGCTCTACCTATTACCATAATTACTTCTGTGATATACATATTCAGTTATTATGGCTTTGACCAACTGCTCAATTGATGCAAAAAAAAACTACTTAATGAGCTCAAATCACCCAAGATGAGAAAACAATAAAATTTCAGACCAACTAGATTAGGAGTGCAGTAGTTCTGTTCAATCATATGTCTAGCACAATTAGAATAAATCTGAGAATATTTATTACGTTGACTGGTAATTTGATGATCATAAATCAATTAGAATATGTTAAAGAAGATAGAAACCAAACCAAAACTAAAATGAACCAGCTAAACAGTGGTTCTAAGATATGAATGAAAGGCAAAATAAAGCTGAATTTATTTGGTTTTAGGTAAGTGTGAACTGAAACGCTCTCAACCCAACAATTCGCATACTCGCTGCAATATTTCTCATGAGCTAGACATTATCTTTCAGTTCCTACTCTTCTTTTCATTTTTGTCAATAAATGACAACTAGATAACTATGCTTATTTTTTATGCTTTGGAAAATGGTAAATAACTTTTACTTTTTCAAAGATTATAAAAAAATCAGAAAACAATTATTTCTCCTTTGGTAACCATGTAATTTTGATGAACTCTTATTATTTTTTTTGAAAATGTTTTGATGTTAAGCAATACAGCTTATTTGCATCTTACTCTTTTTTCATGCTGCATAGATTTTCTTTATTTCATAGTATGAGTGAAATAAAGAGCCTCAGTATGATGAACTTCTACCTTTTGAAAAAGACCACTGTAGAAATTGATAGCTTCTGAAGCAATGGACTGTTGGTAAAGGACCAGAAACCATCTTTGGTTTTAATGGTAAAAACCATCCTAAAGAGATACCAGAAGAACATTTCAAAGCATTACTAGAGTATTGGAAGCTAGACACAGTAAAGGTAAAACATGCTTTCAATTTAGCACTTAACTAGTTAGTACACATTTATCAGTTAGTGATAGTTAGTGATATGTATTCCTTGGACCATTATTAGGAAATTAGTCATCGAAATGCAAAAAATACAGCTCAACAAAAGTGGAGGCATCGAGTTGGTCCGATAAGCTCTTGTCGGATAAGGGAAAGATTGGTATTCCAATTTATAAATTCTGAAATAAGATATTTGTTTGTAAAATTGCAGCATGTTATTCATCTTATTACTATTCTATATAGCGTGCAAAAAAGCAGAACAAAGAGTCTCCTACTCGAGCTGAAGTGTTTATTGAAACTCGACAACCTAAGGAAGGAAAAAAGTTGGATCCTGAAACAGATGGTGCAATTGTAAGTTTTGCTCAACTGTTTTATTTCTTTCAAATAATGATTAAAATGACTTATTATGTTGCACTTCCAAATATGCTAGATAAAGCTTCAAGATTTGATTGTAAATTCTGAAGAGTCTTCGGAAGAAGCATTTCAGAGTGTGTTTGGAAATGAGAAACCAGGGAGAGTGTGATGCCATGGAAGAACTACAACACGTTCTCTCTTGGGAAAAAAGGGAAGAATTGGCAGAAATAGAAAAAAGGCATGCCAATGAGGTCAAACTATTAAATTATAAAATTCAAGAGTTGGAGGAAAGTTGAGACTGTGGTTAGCATTTTTCCTTTTAATAATGAATACAAAAATTGAGAGGAGTTTGGTTCATTCCTAGAAAAGTACTTTCCATGATAGTATTATTACTTTATATGAGAGGGCATTTGGTTAATTCCTGTCACTCATGGAATTGGATTATCTAATTTTAAGCAACCAAAAAAGCAGTTTTCCTTAGCTAGTGAATTTGTGTTTGGTTTGCATCAATGAAACCGCCTTCTCTGGTTGTTTATTCCCCAAATCTTCCACTCCACCTCCAAACATCGATCACCTGCCATTTCTCTTCAGGTCTTTTCAATTTTGCATTTTTATTTTATTTAAGTACATAATGTGCTTCTGTCTTGCTTGGATCTTTACAAAGATTTGATTTTGGCATCTGGGTTTTGAATCCTGTGTGTCCCTTCTACCATTGTTCACTGAATTGTTCAAGTTCATTTTTGGGTATTTTTTATGGCCGCTGAGAAGTAAGAAGTTTATTTGGAAAAACAAATTATAGCAAAATGTTTTTCTCTTTCTGAGCTTTGGGTATACAGTGTTTAATTAGTCTCTTCTAAGAACCTTAAAAAGCTTGTTAGTTAGCTTGGAGGCCGCTTAGTTCAGATGGTTAAAAGAAAAAAGGGTCTTGATTAGTAGACATGCTATGAAAGTAAAGGAGCTAGTGAGGTTTGTATTATAATAATACTAATTCGTAGTTGGATCACTATTCTCTACTTAGATAGTACCAAATTAGATTACTACCATTTTTCTACTAATCTGAACTAAGAAAGAAAGAAATGCTCCATTGAAATGAAAGAAAGAAGTTCACTTTTCCTTATGCAATACTCCATTGATCTCATAAAATTCTTGTTAATGTAGACATGTTATGCTTTTGATTTGAGCTTGGTTATGTGCTTCATAATTTTATTCTTTACATATAATTTATTTAGTTTACGCTTCAAAATGTTTTTATGTAGATGGATGATGGCATTGATGAAGAAAGTGAAGATGAAGATGTAAACAATGATGCTTGAATGTGATTTGATGATGTTTTATTTCCAATTGTTGTTTTCATTTCAAGTTTAGAGTTAAGACACTACTATTGTGATGATTTACAATTTAAAGACAATGGATCATGGATGTTGATTACTAGGGTATTGTTGAACTATGATTTGTGAATGAAATTGATGAAATAAAATTCTACCTTTTCCCCATTGCAAAGTATTTCATAAACACTTTTTAAAAGATTGACATTTCAAATTAGTAGTATGGTGCTTTGTAGCAATGTTTGCAAAAAATGGTTGGAATCTTTTTGGCAACAGTTTATTTTGGTTACTATTGATAGTAACAAATAAAAAATGTTGTCATATATGTTTTAAAAAACTGTTCTCTAAGCTATACTCTTTGAGAACAGTTTTTCCATTATGTTGCCTTTAAATATTGAAACTGTTGTCTAATGTATAGGCAACGCCTTACATTACCACATTTTTAAAACTGTTGCCAAAAACAATGGCAACAGTTTTTTTTCATTAGGCAACAATTTTTCAGCGTAGTAGTAAATCTAAAATGTTGTAGTGTTTTAATAATTATACTGCCTCTTGATGTCTCAATTCAATGCTGGTGGGACGAAGGTAATATAATACTCCGTAGTATGTTTCATGAATATCATACGAAAAATATTAATAGGGTATAATAAATAGGTATGACTAATAGTTACAAGAGCATGGTCTCTTAGTCACTAAAATGTAAAAATTTAACACATGCGATTACAGTTAAGTTATTATTACTACAGTGACTACACTTAAAATATCATTCTTTAAAACAATATTTGTTTCAATCATATGTATATAATGTTTTCTAAAAAATATGAGTTCATTAAAAATTATTTTTAACATCAAATTATAATACCATACTGAAAAACAAAAAATATTAAAAATTAAAAATATGTAGCCAAAAGGCGGCTAAATGTATAGATTTCAAAATGATTAAAGAACCATTAAAAGAAAATGATGTTAAAGAAAAGATAGTATCGGTCCTATCGGATTCCCTTTATCCCAAATTGAAAATAATAATCACAACTATTGTCGGTCCGCTGACAATAATCCCAACTATTGATTATTTTTGTATAATCTCAACTATATGGACCGTACGCCAATAATGGTTCATAACCAGATATTACCTCCAATAACAAGTGAATTTTAAATAGAAATTAAGCATAAAAATTAAAATATAGGATTATTATAGAGATTACTTGTTATGTCTCTTCTCGTTCACTTTAGAAACTATATGAATTTATTTATAGGGACCATTATTGGCGGAAGGTCCCTTAAGTTGGGATTAATCTGAAATAATCAATAGTTGAAATTGTTATGAGTGGACCGCCAATAGTTGGGATTATTGCTATCAATTTTTCCTATCCCAAATTGTAAACTCAAAAAAAAATCAAATTTCGGATTCAAAAATTCTAAAAACTCCTTGTTTCATACGTTTTTTTCGAGAAAATTCTCGAAACACAGGACCTTTTTGTCAACAAAAAAAAACATGGAACTTCAAATAAGAATGTTTTCATTTTAATTTTCAGATCAGACTTAAATGGATCAGACTTAAACAGATCAAATCATATCAGATCAGACTTTCGTACTTATTAAATCCAAAAAGACCGGACCATATTTAAAAAGACCAGACCATACCAACAAATCACAATTCAAGTAAAAACATCCTAATGGGCGAGAACAATCAAGGGACTAGGAATTCTACGTTCCGAATGAAAAAAGGGTTGGGGCGCATGGGTAGGGGAAATTGGTGGGGATTGGGCCGCAATGACGGAGCCAGGGCACTGAGCCGGACTAGAGCAGTATAAAGAATATTACTGTAAAAATATTACACGGGATTTTATTACCTTAAAATTTAAATCATTTTTTATATTTAGGGTGGGTCGTGGCCTGTGTTGGCCCCCTCTACCTCCACCAACTGGGTTGGGCAAAATGTAGAAAAATATTTAGTGATGACACCTATATCGCATTGTAAAGTTATGTAACATTTTTATCTGCACTCTATTTTTTATAGAAACAAATATATCAAATTTATAACTTTTTATGATCTTTCATATGACCCATATATTTAGTATTCTAGCTAAAAGCAGCGAAAGGCGCCGCCTAGGCCAACCTATGAGCCTAGGCGTGATGCACCGATTGAACGCCCTCAAATAGCTAAAATGCGTGGAAAAGGCATCAAATTTTATCAAGACCAGTTGTACCATACAATTTACGGTCTAATCCCCCTCTCGATGATGTAATTTTTATTTTTCTCATATTACATTCGATAAATGTTCCCCGACATTTACCCCACTGATTTTGGTGATTTTCTTTCCGGGTAAAAAAGCATTTAGCTCCACATAGTAGTTTTTTGTCAGCCTAATATCTAAAGCGAATGGGAAATTGCTCTAAATAGAACTAAAAATGTTTGTATATTCCAAAATAAAACTACCATGTTTTTATTCCCCAAATAGGACCAGTTACTACCATGTTTTGGCAATACTAAACATTAAAAATGACAGGTTTATGGGAGAACTTTTTGGAGATGAATTATATGTTGATTTTTTTGAGATTTATCCCATATCGGTATTGGATCAACATTATTTGAGCATGTGGTGCTTATAAATTTAGTGTAGATTAGATGGATTAGTCTCAATCCATACTACACTAATTTTTTTGGTTTCACTTGCAGATGAGCTTTATTACTTGGATTGAAAAAAAGTATATATGTCATGTATTTATTTTTGTAAGAGAGAATTAAATAACTGTATTACATGGAGAGACAAAATTAAATAAGAAAATAAGGATTGAATTTAATATTAGTTATGTTAATATTAATAATATAATATTTATTATTATCAATATTATTACTAAAGGGAGTATTCATATATAGCAAAAAAAAAATATTAATAACAGATTATTAAAAGATTTAACCATTTGAGGTTAACATTTAACTCACCAGCATTTTAATATGTACTCCCTCTGTCCCCCTTATATTGTCCCGTTTTAACTTTTTAAGAAGTCACATTAATAGTGTTTCATACCATATTTGGTAAAGTTTGTATGACTCTAAATCATTCTTACTTTATTCTTACTTTATCAATTAATATTAACCATACAAATCCACTTTTCTTAATAATCGTGTCACCCTCCTCCGTATCAATATAAAAGAGACGGAGGTAGTGATATTTAACAATATGCTTGAGTAATTTGCTGGTGAGTAAGGGAAACTAAGAAATTAAATTAAAGGAAACTGCCAAAACTAATGGAAACTAACGGAAGGACTTGATTAAAATTCACTAAATAGAACAAAGACTAAAATGATAGATTTATTAGTTGAAGGACCGAAACGATATGGTGATGAAAGTTTAAGGACCATTTATGCATTTTACTCTTAAATACCTAATTTAATTAGAAGTTGTCACTTGAAAAACATTTTACTTTTTTTTTTTTTTTGCAATCACTTCCTTAACCAGCGAACTCTTTAATTGCCAAATAGAACCAAAAAGTTACCATTTCAAGTTTAACTTCAAAATATATATAAGCATTTAACAACATGGTCGTCGCAATATGAACCTTAAATTATATTCCGTATGTAGTACGAAGTATGTCGAAAGATGTACATGGGAATACAACATTACCATGTATCAGTGTGTTTGATTAGAAATAATAATAATAATAATAATAATAATAATAATAATAATCAGGATGATGGTGATCAAAATAATAATAATAATAATAACATTAATAATAACATTAATAATAATAGTAATACTAATAGTAATAATAATAATGATAATAATAATCATAATAATCATCATAATAGTCGTCATAATAGCCTTCATAATAGCCTTCGTAATAGCCGTAGTAATAGCCATAGTAATAGCCGTAGTAATAGCAGTACTAATAGCAGTAGTAATAGCACTAGTAATAAGGATAGTAATAATGATAATGGTGGTGGTGGTGGTGGTGGGGGTTGTGGTGGTGGTGGTGATAATAATAATAATAATAATAATAATAATAATAATAATAATAATAATAATAATAATAATAATAATAATAATAATAATAATAATAAAAGAAAGTTACTCCATATTTCAAATAATGTTAAAATATAGACAAAATGCACAAAAACTTATTAAAAGCATATAACTTACTTATTTAGTTTGGATAAGTAAAAAAGGAGAAAGTTTTCAAAATAGAACTTACTTATTTTGGATAGCCGCCTCCTCTTATTCTTCCTCTCTTTGTTCAATTTTCTTTGGATCCCAATCATGAAAGAAGTTTCATTAGATCAATATTTTCAGTTCTATGTATACGCCTCTTTCCTAGCATTGTCTAGAGATATTATTTTCGGTGGCGAAGTGTCGCTCGCCAGATTTATGCTCCTCGCCATCATCGGTCGGGGTGTTCTTGGGTGTTAGTAAGAGATGTGTATGGGCTTCTCTATCGTCCTGAATCAAGATTTCTTCTGTATCAATATAGAGGCCGATCGCCCCCCCTCCTGAATGGATGTGTATGAGAGTGAATGGATTGCTTTCTTTCCGGTGGCTGGTGAAACCGAAATAATTTCTACACTTACTCCTTACCGGTGGCTGGAAAAACCGGCAAGTTTAATAAATCCTTTTCGGTGGCTGGTCAAACCGGACCTATTTCGAGTAGCACGAGCAGTCATATTGCAGGACGAGTCTACATAGTTGCAGGGTTAGCGAACATGATATCTTCTATATGGCTTTTTTATTCTTTGTCTCACCCTAGTGTGGCATTGAACGCTATGATTGTAATGCTTCGACTTTTGATTGTTATGTTTCCGGTTACCCTTATTAATAATAATTAAGTTATTGTTTTTCAAAAAACTTCCCCGATTAATTAATAATGAACGAGTTCCAACTAGTTTAGGAAGAAACCAATTATTTTGTCCATTGTATCTATGTATTAGTCTTATTGGGGAATTTTCTCTAATATGGAGTAATATCCATCATCACAATAATAAGAATACATAATAATTGGACTAACATTATACTCCTATTATAAATTCAGATTCAAATAGTCTAGTTCGATGCTAATGCTACAAACTCCTAAAATTATTGTTATCGATTTAGTAAAAAAAAAGTACTCCCAAATAAGAATAACTTCATCACACCAGTTGAGGATTATATATTCCACCAAGAAATATTATGGTGTCAGACACATCTTCTTGAATGACAAACATGAACGGATGGTCCACTATAAAGTTGATTGGCGGTGGCGGTGGTGAATCATCCAAGCAAAAGCCGCAATCATCATCTGAATCATCAGTAATACTCAACACTTTTGTACCTGCCTCATCGCATTCCACCCGGCTACGCTGTGTGATTCTTGAGACAAACAGTGGCATTTCCTCCACCAAACTAGTAAGGTTATCCTCAAAATCCATGAAAGGCAACGTTAGCCCTAACTCTTTCATTATGTCTGATGGTTGGAAACAATAAGAGAGCGTAAACTTTGGAACCTGTAAGATGGAAATCATCTGATACTCCATATTCGGCATATGCTTGCGAGACAAGAGATGAGGGTTTTCTCTTATCTTGTCAGCTAGTTTTGGCAACCCACTTTTTTCCTTTGGGAGGATAATGGCCATGGAGAAACGCCTTCCCGATTTGCAATCTCCATGCGCTGATTTATAGGGCATCTTAAGAACACTGTAGTCGTCAAAGGAGGCGTGCGCGTAAGTGCTTTCATATTTCATCATGAATGGTACTTCGACGACAGGTGAGTCGTCCACGTTTTCCCCAAGAAGGTGGAATTTCTCAGTTCGTGTATCTGATGGCCGAAATTCGTTTTCCCAGCTTGCTTTGAAATAAAGCCCATTCGCATGGATAAGGGTTAAATATTTATTGCTAAAGGCACTCCTAAGAAGAAGCGGTTTTATCAACCCTTTTGTCTCATCATTAACCCATTCATTCACCTTATCTACACTTGCAGCCTGAAAACAATTCAAAGAGAAATTGCAAACACGTTCTCAACAATCTAATTATACGACTTTTTTAATTGTAATCCAACGAAGCAAATGATTTTACGTTTCATATACAGAAACATACGTAGAATACGGAGTGTTATTTACGTACAAATTTGGAAGATATGAATTTTAGCTCAATGGCTCAAAAAAAGCAACACATTAGACATGAGTAAAATCATAATGTTAATTTTATCATATATATGCGTAGTGAAATCTAATAGATCGATGCAACTTTTTTGCTGATAAGTGATGGCATATAAACTTGTGCCATTAATAACTAGAAATAATTGTTTGTGGAGAAGTTTAAGAGTCATTATCTAGAAAGTTGTATTCCTTCTTTTAAATATGTTTTTCAATGTTTCGTTTCTGGTGTGTGAGAATAAGAAAGATCATATTTCCCCTCTCCATATTATCTAATCCTCCTGCTGCTATCTTTAACAGATTGGTATCAGAGCCATACACACAAAAACAACCATGGCTTATACTGGTTCCCTTCAAACGCAGGTGCCCAAACTAACGAAGAACAATTACCGAATGTGGAGCATTCAAATGGAAGCATTGCTGGGTTCACTTGACGTCTGGGACCTTGTGGAGAATGACTACACAGCAGCTACGACATCAGAAGAGGTTGATGAAGAGAAACGAAGGGAGATAAAGAAAAAGGAAAAACAGGCCCTGTTCACAATATACCAGGGAGTTGATGAATCCACTTTTGAGTTAATTGCTGCAGCAAAAACGTCGAAAGAGGCATGGGAGATACTGAAAAAGGCCCACGATGGAGTAGACAAAGTAAAGAGGATCCGGCTCCAAGCGTTGAGATCACAATTCGAATCATTGCGCCAAAATAATTCAGAATCTATCTCTGATTATTTCTCCCGGGTTATAGCCGTCGCCCATGAAATGAAACAAAACGGCGAGGAGCTGAGCGATGTTCGAGTTATGGAAAAAATATTAAGGTCCTTGGATCCAAAGTATATTCATATAGCTGCTACTATTGAAGAAACCAAAGACCTTGATACACTGAAATTGGAGGAATTGATGGGTTCATTACAAGTTTATGAACAACGACTTGTAAGCCAAGGAGAGGACAAATCTCTGGAACAAGCACTTCAAGCCACTCACCTTTTCAAGAAGAATAATTCTAGAGGAGGATCCCAACGTGGTGGTTTTCAGCCACGACGAGGACGAGGTGGTCGTAGCTCTATACATAGTGAGCAAACTCAGGAAAATAATCCTAATAGTGAAAGGCAGGATATACGCAGTCGTGGTTTTATTCAAAGTCGAGGGAGATATAGAGGCCGTGGACGTGGAAGAAGTACTGGACAACGGTATGACAAATCTGAAATCCAATGCCATGTCTGCAAAAAGTTTGGCCATTATGCCAGTGAATGCTGGTATAACGCTAGCAACACAGAGGAAAAGGCAAATCTTGTGAGCAAGGAAGAACAAAACGACGGGACCATACTGTTGATGGCAAGCAGAGAACCAGGCACGATAGATAATGTTATGTGGTTCTTAGACACCGGCGCCTCAAATCACATGTGCGGAAGGAAGGAGTTTTTCGCCAACCTTGATGAAAGAAAGCTCGGCAACATTACATTTGGGGATCTATCACAGAAGCCGATCGAAGGGAAAGGTGACATAATCCTTCATCTTCAAGATGGGAGAAATGTAAGTATTTCAGATGTCTACTATGTCCCGGATATAAAAAGTAATCTTTTGAGTGTTGGGCAGTTACTTGAGAAGGAGTATGTTGTGAAAATGGAGGATTTGGCATTAAGTATTCGGGATAAAAACAACCAACTCATCACCAATGTGAAGATGACAAAGAATAGAATGTTTCCGTTAAAACTCAACATCAACGAAGTAAAATCTTTTAAAGTGACCAGTGTTGATATATCAACACTTTGGCATCTTCGCTATGGGCACTTGAATTTTGAGGCGTTAAAGATGCTTGAAAGACAAAATATGGTGATTGGGTTACCAAAGATGGAGCATCCCAGCAAGTTATGTGAGGTATGTGTCCTGGGAAAGCAGCAAAGGAAATCATTTCCAAAGTACAAATCAAAAAGGGCATCCACCCGACTTGAATTAGTGCACTCCGACGTATGTGGCCCAATTTCTCCTCATTCCATTGGTGGCCACAGGTATTTCTTAACCTTTACAGATGACTACAGTGGGAAAACATGGGTCTACATAATGAAGGAGAAAAGAGAAGTCTTTGGAAAATTCAAAGAATTTAAACAGCTTGTTGAAAAACAAAGCGGGTGCCAAATAAAATGTTTGAGGACAGATCGAGGGGGTGAATACACCTCGCGTGAGTTTGATCTTTTTTGCAAGCAGAGTGGGATCTCTCATCAACTCACCATGCCACAAACGCCGCAACAAAATGGTGTCTCGGAAAGAAAGAACCGCACAATTCTTAATATGGTTCGGTGTATGCTTAAGGAAAAGTGTGTTCCTAAAGAATTTTGGGGTGATGCAGTGGCTTGTTCAGTTTATTTGTTAAACAGGTTTCCAACAAAGAGAATCGGTGATATCACTCCTGAGGAAGCCTGGAGTTCGCGCAAACCAAAGATTGATCACCTGAGAATTTTTGGAAGCATTGCATATGCTAAAGTACAAGAAGAAAAAAGGACAAAGCTTGAAGATAAGAGCCAAAAATGCATTTTTTTAGGCTATGGTGAAAACTGCTGCGGGTATAAACTGTTCAATCCAGTAACCGGCAAGGTTGTGATGTCAAGAGACGTAGAGTTTGACGAAGAGCGTGCATGGGATTGGAATCATCCAAACCAATCCGATCAAGTAATACTAGAAGATGAATCTGAACCTGAAAAGGAAAAGGAAGCACAAAATCAGGAAATGCCTTTATCACCGCCAGGACAAGCCCAGGATGACTCAGAAAGTGACGAGTCGAGTCATAGTCCTGCTGCCCGGAAAACCCGAAGAATCCAGGACATTTACGACTCCACTCATATGCTTGATGATGAGTTTATTAATTTCTGTCTTTTTACAGGTCATGATCCTTTAACTTATGAGGAGGCTTCCAAGGAAGTTAAATGGAAGAAAGCTATGAGGGAAGAGATCCATGCTATAACAAGAAATGACACGTGGGAGCTTGTTCCACTTCCTCATGGTCACCAAGCCATTGGAGTTAAATGGGTGTTCAAAACAAAGAGAAATGAAAAAGGGGAGGTGGAAAAACATAAGGCAAGGTTGGTAGCAAAAGGTTACAAGCAAAGGTTCGGGATTGACTATGAAGAAGTTTTTGCTCCGGTAGCCCGACTTGAAACAGTAAGATTGCTCATCTCTATTGCAGCCCAAAGGAGGTGGAAAATATATCAAATGGACGTAAAGTCCGCGTTCTTGAATGGAACTCTCGAAGAGGATGTTTATGTCGAGCAACCACCGGGTTTCGTGGTCAAAGGCCAAGAAGAAAAAGTCCTAAAATTGAAGAAAGCCTTGTATGGCTTAAAGCAGGCCCCACGAGCATGGAATTCGAGAATTGATGAATATTTCTCTCAAGTCGGATTCACAAAATGCCCGTATGAGCATGCTTTGTACATGAAGGTAGATGCAAAAAATGTCTTGTTGGTGTGCCTATACGTGGACGATTTGATCTTTATGGGCAGCGATGAAAACATGATTAAAGAATTCAAACAATCCATGGAAAGGGAGTTCGAGATGACAGACTTAGGCCTCATGAAATTCTTCCTGGGAATTCAAGTACAACAAGAGGCAGATGGAATTTTTGTGACCCAGGAAAATTATGCCAAGGAGATTCTCAAGAAGTTGTGTATGGAAGAGTGTGAAACTGTTGATACTCCAGTGGAGTATGGAGCGAAATTGTCAAAACAGGGGGAAGGAAAACCAGTGAACCCGACCTATTACAAAAGCATTGTGGGCTGTCTTCGCTACTTGACATGTACGCGGCCAGATATTCTTTATGGAGTTGGGTTGGTAAGCCGTTACATGGAAAGCCCGATGACTTCTCACTTGAAGGCAGCCAAACGAATTATTAAATATATCAAAGGAACAATGAATAATGGGCTGTTTTATCCTAGTAATGGGAAATCAAAACTAGTTGGATTTAGTGACAGTGACTGGGCTGGAAGCTACGAAGATCGGAAAAGCACAACCGGATTCGTGTTCTTCTATGGTGACACCGCGTTTACTTGGGCCTCAAAGAAGCAGCCCGTTGTTGCACTATCTACCTGTGAGGCGGAATACATTGCTGCAGCATCCTGTGTTTGTCATGCAATCTGGTTGAGGAGACTGCTTCAAGAACTAAAGCTGCAACCGGAAGAAACAACAAAGATTTATGTGGATAATAAGTCGGCGATTGCCCTTGCCAAAAATCCAGTTCATCACGAGCGTTCCAAGCACATTGATACTCGCTTCCATTTCATCCGAGAAAAGGTTAAGGAAAGAAAAGTGGAGCTGATACACGTGAACACAAAAGAGCAAGTTGCGGATATTTTTACGAAAGCACTAAAGAGTGATGTCTTTCAGCATTTGAAGATTTTACTTGGAGTCAAAGCTCAATCAGACACAAGTTTAAGGGGGGAAAATGATGGCATATAAACTTGTGCCATTAATAACTAGAAATAATTGTTTGTGGAGAAGTTTAAGAGTCATTATCTAGAAAGTTGTATTCCTTCTTTTAAATATGTTTTTCAATGTTTCGTTTCTGGTGTGTGAGAAAAAGAAAGATCATATTTCCCCTCTCCATATTATCTAATCCTCCTGCTGCTATCTTTAACAATAAGGACATAATAAATAAAATCTATACATAGCGGTTCACACTTCACAGTATATGAAGCAGTGAAAAGTACTGAAGCAGCTATGAAGATCGAATATGGTAGAGAGATTATTGTGTGGTCGTGTGGAGTTATAAAATTCGTAGGTTTCCGTAATGTGACAACTATTGTAGAACGGAAGCAGTAATTGCCAAGAAATATTGATATTTGTTTAATTAAGACCTTATTGTTGGTGATACTCAAATTGACTGAATTAGTTGATTTTGCTGAAATTTATGAAGTTCTAGCTGAAGTGGCTGGATTATCTGATTGTACTGATTTGTGAAAAAAATTATGTTTAAAATATTTTTTATTAATAATATAAAGAAGAATAAATGAAAAATAGCTTAAATGGTCTAATCCTCTACAGTAACTTCAGTCAATGCATCCATCCAGAAAAATAATTTCAACCTTACACTTCTTATTATTACATAATCCAGCGCGCAAAATCAAAAGTTACATTTTCTTATTACGAAGTATTACACAATCCAAACAGGCTCTAAATATGCGAATATCCACGATCTAATTAAGGCCCTCCTCCTACATCTATAAAATAAAACAAATATCGGACCCTATCAACTTAATTTATGAGGCCGATAAAACCAATGGTGTGTTTGGTTGGAAGGGTTGAAACTTTTAATACTTAGCTTATTCAAACGAATATCGTATGATTATTGATTATAATCTTGTTTTTCCACTAACTTTTTACTCCAAATATATATTAAAACGCCAAATATATACACCGTATTCATTCAAACAGTCAAAAATCGATTCTCAAGGAGACCCTAATGAATGATAATCTCAATAAAACGCCGTATATACGTTTTACTTTGCATAAAAGGAAGATCTATCACTACCGTAGCTTAATTAATTAATTGTTACATACCTTGCCAGAAAAATCAACATACTTCACTTTGGCATGAAACATATTTTCCAGAAATTCTCGGTGACTTTCCTTGAGAGTGCGTTTGTGACTCACAAGAACAGCATTGAAATTGCAGATTACCGGACCATCATCCGTTTCGAGATTGCTGGAAGATTTGGCGATCTCCATTAGCTTTGGGGCCTCTAAGGCCAGATCCTCCATCTTTTCTACCTGGAGAAAGTGAAGCAGTTCATCCAAGGTAGGCCCTGCTGCGCCGTTGGCAATCATGTGGAGTATTACTGAGATACCGAACGGTGATATCATCAGATTCGCCGGAGATTTGGTTTTGCAGGACTTTTGCAACTCAAGCAAAGCAACATCTAGAGAAAATTCCATGTCTTTTTTCTTGATGAGGAATCTACCTTTTAGCAGCGAATGGCGATTGACGATGGGAGCTGGGCAGAAGCTTAAATAGCAAATCCTCCGTATATGCTAGGGCTTTGTACGCAAGAGGCATAGTACGAAGTATATTACATTAAACAGGTCATCCTAATGGTACGTGAGTCTCCTTATCATACCCAATTACGTGCTCCCTAAAAGATTTGTATGCTAATACGTCGTATGATTTTCCAATCTTAATTTCTATTCAAACTCTATTTCTAAAATTAAAAAAATTGACTTTACTATTTCCAAACTTACACATACGTAGTACGGAGTACTAAGATGTTTTCTTTTAAACTGAAATTTGCTGATCTGATCTGATCTGGTCTGGTAAATGTCTGGTCTGATCTGGTCTGGTCTCGTCTGATCTGGTCTGGTACTGAAAACAATCCAAAAGAAAACATCTTACGTATGTTCAAAATTAAAGCTATATTCTTTAATGTAGTTTCTGATTACATACATTTAACTTTAATGTTAAATGTAGTTTCTGAAAATCGTGAAGTATATATTGTCACGCCCCGGACCGACCCGGTAACGCCAACAACCGCCGCATAATCTAATGAGAGCACCTTTCCAAGTCCTCTCATTGAACCATGCAAGGCATTCATTCAATATCATAATACTAAGTAATTCCTTATAAAGAAATAAGTATTTATCGGGTGAGAAGTCCATTAAGGTAATACAAAGGCAAATGGATAAATGTTTGATAATATCATGACGTATGACACGCAGGCCCAAATTTAGAGTTTATAGAGAGCAATAGTCTCATGGGCAACTATTAAAATAGAAAGAAAAAAAAAAGATTCCCGAGGTGTACGAACCAATTCTAAGTCCTGGGCGGATCAAATCAAGATGTAGGACACAAGATTTCTTCAAGGACGCCTTGACCTACAAATCTGTGAGGGGTCAGCTTGTGATACTGCCAAGATCCTCCTACTTAGTATACATACTAGCTCACCAGCAGATATTTTTCATAAACAAACATTATAGTGATAATCGTATAATTAATCATGTTTCAACCCAACACGTACCTACCCTTTTAAAATAATTACACACACATATATAGCATAAGGATGATTTTATTAAATGGTAAAAAAATTCACACATCAATATATGTCAGAGTCTACCGGCTCAATCCACCTAGTAAGGCAAATCGTTCTGCTTATTGACTAGATAATTATAACCACATCCATGTACATTCTACAAAAAATGACTTATCCACTAGGCTTGTCCATCCTGACGAGGTTACTAAGACCCCAACACCATCGGCCCAAGTCATAGTTCGAATCTAAAATACATGAGAAGTCAACTTGTCCGCTCGGCTTGTCCATCCTGACGAGGTTACCACGACCCCAACACCATCGGCTCAAAATCACATCTCAAAACCACGACGTCGTTTTCCGACTCGTACACAGAGCAATTGAGTCTAAATGTACGGTCACTTAATATCCACCCCGCTGTACTCGCTTTTTAGAGTATCGGTAGGTTCCTATTTTATAAAATAATGATCAGGTACTAGCATCCTAGCTAGTACGTAACAGTTTCATGCCGTGTTCTACCCTGAGTAGGATAATATTCTTATGCTAAACCGTAGCACATAATAGTTTTTTACATGGCCATTTAAAATGCGTATGGATAAAAGCACCTTCTGTCACGGCTTACTCGATGAATTACCGTTTTTAAATCTATCATACTTCCTCCGTTCTTAAATAAATGCAACGGTCAACATTTCACACTTGTCGAGACACAACTTTGACCATTAGTATAAATAATTTTGTATTAGTAAAAAATTTAAAAAAATTAGATTATGAAAATTTACAATGAGACAAGTTTAACAATATTTTTTTCATAAAATAATATTATTACATTAATAAATAAAACGTAGTCAAAGTAGAACATATGAATAGTGTAAAAGTCAAGTGTTGCATTTATTTAAGAATGGAGGTAGTATCTCATATCATATATCATGGCTGTAAAAGTGGAACCCATACCTATCCTCGTTATTTCAGTTGTACGATAGTCCCATTTTCCGGATTTATTGAATACAGGCCGGGTATACTATTTTTCTCTTACTTCAATCCAGTTTTATTGAATATAATATATTTATCCTATACTCCGTATTAATCATCTCCGTTTGGTAGCACCAAAATAGGCTGTTTTGGCTGATTCTGCTGAAATTTATGATATTCTGGCTGGAGTGGCTGTTTTGGCTGATTCTGCTGATTTAAGAAAAAAATATTTTAAAAATATATTTTATTAATAAATTAAAGAAAAAATTATATGTAAAAATAGCTAAAATGGTCCTCTACAGTAACTTCAGCCAATACAGCCAGAAAAGTAACTCCAACCTTACTTTTTCGGCTTATTACACAATTCAGCGCGCGAAAGTAAAAGTTACGTGTTTGGTGAAAAAGCTGGCTGATAAGCCTGATAAGCCGAAAACAGAGTTGTCCAAACGGGCTCCTAATGTTTCGTTTCCAGCTTTTATGCACTATCAACTAATTTTATGAACTAAACTTTTACGTTCCGTCAATTACCTGCTAACCTGCGCTCTATCAGTGATTTAATATTTAGTAAAAGGTCATATTAAGTAGTTACCCATTTAATTAACGTGCATGAGTAAAAGTTTTTCTTATGGGTATCATCAGTTAATTATTTTTATTAATTAACACGAGTACAATCATATTTTCCATTTCTGATTCTTTTCGATCTTTTATTCCTTTTTCTTCTTTTTATTTTTAATACGTACTAAGTATTATATATGTGGGTAAAAACTTTTCTTGTGTGATTTTAATCATTTACGTACATATATAGCCACATTTATACTTTATAGCCTTCACTTTTCATCATTCATTACTATATTTCGTATGTGTGCTCCAGAATTAACTAAAGTAGATATTACGTGTCCTTATTTGATGAAACATGTCATATAAATTATCTAACACGTAGCAATCATGCTTGAACAAATAATTCTAACAATTTACACCAGTACAATTATAGTACTTTAATAAGTTAAGTAGTATTATTTAATTATCAAGTATTAAATCAGATCATACTAATAAAATTGTATGTATACTAAGTGGAAACTTTTTAAACCTCACCTCGAAAAGGCGTAAACGCTGATTAGTGAGATAGAATAAGATAATCAGCGGCCACTCCTTCCGACTTAGTTAAGCTGGCCGTAAAAACACGTACAAACACTTTTCGGGCAGCCGCCATTCCCATAATGTACGAGTGTAGCTTCTCCGTGTATCATACGTACTCACTCTTCTTTATTTTCAGGAAGTGATTACGAAGGAGATAAGAGACCCAACAAGCTTGATCGGCATACGAAGTCCATACTTCTATATACGAGTATATATTATTTGTGGTGTGTCTCGGCAGGGGTGGAGACGGGGGGGCTGGCAGGGGCCATGGCCCCTGCAAAAAAAAAAAAAATTAGTATATAGGTAAAAAATTAAAATTTATACATTAAATTTTGATATGGCCCCTACATTTTATTTTTGGATATAGTAGTATTATTACTCAGCCAGCCCTACAAATGGTAAAGCCCAAACTAACAAAGTAAGCCCATTTGAAAGAAGCAATTGAAAGAAATGCAAAATTAGATAGGGAGTAACAAAAGTGAACATAGCAGAAGCACATCAAAGTTCGTATCTTCTTCCAAAGTGCCGCAACGAACTCTTTTTCTTGGCCGCTCGAGAAGAAATATGTCTGCCTCAGTACCTCACCGCCTGACGCCTGGTTCTCCAATTTCTCGTGTCCGCCTCAGTACCTCACAGTGCCGCTTCACCTCTTGATTCTCTCAGTTCTCTGCTTTGGCGATTTGGGACTCACTTGTAAACAAAGTGACATCTTTCTGTGAGACTAAGGATATCTCAGTTCCTGATATGAATGCAAATTTTTCTGATATTATTCGATCTCGTCGCAAGAAGGATATAGTGAAAGTGGAGCACCATTATCGAGTGAACATCTTTCTGGTTGCTATTGATAGGCAATTAGAAGAGTTGAATAGCAGGTTCAGTGAGCGTACTACAGAGCTTCTTGTGCTAAGTAATGCTTTGGATCCTAGAGATGGGTTCAAGTCATTCAATATTGGTGATATATGCACACTTGTTGAAAAGTTTTATCCTCATGATTTTTCTGATCAAGAAAAGATTAATTTGAGCTTCCAGTTGCAGCATTATCAACTTGATGTACCTAATCATCCCTCTTTGAAGAATATGTGTACCATTACAGGTTTATGTCGAGGGATGGTTGAGACAGGGAAGTCTGAAATTTATCCATTGATTGATAGATTGATTAGATTGCTTTTAACTCTTCCAGTTTCGACAGCAACTACTGAGCGGGCTTTTTCAGCGATGAAGATTTTCAAAACAAGACTTCGAAACAGGATGGAAGATGTGTTTCTTAGGGATTCCATGGTTACTTACATTGAAAAAGAAATTGCTGAAAAGATTCCCGTGGACAAAATCATTGATGATTTTTATTTGATGAAGGAGAGACGTGCAAGACTGCAATAAAACATGTATTTTACTTGTTTTGCTTTTAAGTCAGAGCTCCGGATAACTTAGCTACTATCTTAAACTTTTTCCCGTGTAAAACTCTTTCGTATGACTCTTGTCGGGAACAATGCTTTATGTATTAGATTATAATTTTTTAATTCCATGTAGTTTTTCAATAGAATGGCCCCTGCATAGTTGACTTCCTGGCTCCGCCACTGTGTCTCGGTGTTTACACCAAGATTCTATGTATGTTATATCTCTGGCTCACTACACCACTTTTATTTATTGTGTATGCATATGAAGTATTCATATTATATATTACTCTTATTCTCTTGCATATATGTGGTGTGAAGGCAAAGCCGTTGCTTAATTATATATAGATGTAAGACGTATGTGTTATCCGCTGGTAATTATTTTGATATCTGTATTTCGCAGCAGTGCCGGCGGAATAGTAGTACGATAGTATTTTATTATGAGAAAATTACCATGCGTGTGAGTAAAACTACTCCCCTTTCTTCATATATGAGCACACAAGTTTCTTTC